AAATAATCAAGACAAACAAAAAGAAAAAGAATGGACGTTAGCAGGGCGAGAGGGGAAGCAAGAAGGTAATTAGGAGACTACTCCAGTAGTTACTAGTTAATGATTAGTAGTTCTCAGATGATGAATTGATTTAAAATGTTTGTGTAAAGGATATATTTTGAAAGCAGAGCCAACAGGATTTGCTGACTGGATATTGCTGTAACAAGAAAAGGAGAACAGTAAGACCTCTAGTTTGATGGCTGTGGATGTGGATGAATGGCAGTGTCATTCATGAAACAGTAAGGACTGGACATGCAAGGTCTGTGAGGAGATCACCGACAGTCTTGGTCTGGACACCTTATATTTGAGATGCTCGGCACCTGGTTTGGATGTAAAGTAGGTAGGGCGCAACTCTGACTAGTGATTTTATTTTATTTTATTTTGAGACGGTGTTTTGCTCTTGTTACCCAGGCTGTAGTGCAATGGCGCGATCTCAGCTCACTGCAACCTCCACCTCCTGGGTTCAGGCAATTCTCCTGCTTCAGCCTCTTGAGTAGCTGGGATTACAGGTGTGAGCCACCGTGCCCGGCTTTATTTTATTTTTTATTGATTTTTTTTTTTGAGATGAATTCTCACTTTGTTGCCCAGGCTGAAGTGCAGTGGTGTGATCTTGGCTCACTGCAGCCTCCGCCTCCTGGTTTCAAGTGACTCTCCTGGCTCAGCCTCCCCAGTAGCTGGGATTACAGGTGTCTGCCACCACAGCTGGCTAATTTTGTATTTTAGTAGAGACAGTGTTTCACCATGCTGGCCAGGCTGGTCTCGAACTCCTGACTTCAAGTGATCCACCTGTCTTGGCCTCCCAAAGTGCTGGGATTACAGGCATGAGCTGCAATGCCAGGTTGCTTCCCATACATTTTATTTAACAATTCACATTGTAGCTCAACTTCTTCTTCTTCTTTTTTTTTTTTTAATTTGAGACGGGGTCTCACTGGAGTGCGGTGGCACAATCTCAGCTCACTGCAACCTTGGCCTCCCAGACTCACACGATTCAGCCTCCCGAGTAGCTGGGATTACAGGTGCACACCATTACTGCCTGGCTAACTTTTTGTTTATTTAGTAGAGATGGGGTTTCATCATGTTGGCCATACTGGTCTTAAACTCCTGACTTCAAATAACCCACCTGTCTCAGCCTCCGAAAGTGCAGGGATTACAGACATGAGCCAAGGTGCCCAGCCTTAAGCCACCTCACCTAGGCTTCTGCTTCTTTTTTTTCTTTTGAGACAGAGTCTTGCTCTTGTCACCCAGGGTGGAGTGCAATGGCATGATCTCGGCACTGCAACCTCTACCTCCTGGGTTCAAGCAATTCCCTTGCCTCAGCCTCCTGAGTAGCTGGGATTACAGATGCACGCCACCATGCCAGGCTAATTTTTATTTTTAGTAGAGACGGGGTTTCACCATGTTGACCAGGCTGGTCTCAAACTCCTGACCTCGTTCCATCCACCTTGGCCTCTCAAAGTGCTGGGATTACAGGCGTGAGCCATTACAGGTACCTGCCACCACTCCTGGCTGATTTTTTTTTATTTATTTATTTATTTAGTCTTGCTTTGTCGCCCAGGCTGGAATGCAGTGGCGTGATCTCAGCTCAATGCAACCTCTGACCCCTGGGCTCAAGTGAGTCTCCTGCCTCAGCCTCCCAAGTAACTGGGATTACAGATGCCCATGATCACACCTGGCTAATTTTTGTACTTTTAGTAGAGATGGGGTTTCACCATGTTGCTCAGGCTGGTCTCGAACTCCTAACCTCAGGTGATCTGTTGGCCTTGGCCTCGGCCTCCCAAAGTGCTGGGATTACTGGCATGAGTCACTGTGTTCAGCCTGCAGGGGTTTATTTGTCTAGCTGGTGGGTGGGTAGGGAAGGTCCCAGTCCCAACAGCCTGGGCCTTGGAACAGGGAGGGGACAGTGATGCCCCCTGGAGTCGTACTCAGGGTGGTAGAGGATTGGTTCTCCTCTGGTCCCTGGAGCATCTGGTGATTTGGCATCACCCACAACCAGGGCCCCTCCTCGCCCTGGTCCTCCTTAGGTGAGGCTGGGCTCAGGACCCTGCTGGGGGCTCAGGACATGGCCCAGGATGTCCTTGGTCTCCACCCAGGCCTTGGTGCCTGGTGGCTTCTCCTCAGCAGTCAAGAGCTTCGGCTTCTGGATGGGGAGCACCCCCACCAGCTGGCTGTCCTTCTCTGTTGGCTCCATCAGACGGGCACCCTAGGCCTTTGCTGCATCCTGCTCCGAGGGCTGGTGTTTGACTTGGACCTTGACAGGGACCTTGGGTGCTGGGGTCACACCGGCCCCCGACAACAGCACAGCCAAAAGGCTGGTGACCATGAGAAGCCTCCTCATGTCTGGGATCCCCATCTCTGCATAGAGAGTGCTCAGGGAGCTGCAGGGGCTATTCCCAGTATCTGGCATCTGGCCCAGACCCTCCTTAATTTTTGTATTTTTAGTAGAGACAGGGTTTGACCATGTTGGCCAGGCTGGTCCTGAACTCCTGACCTCAACTGATCTACCCACCTCTGCCTTCCAAAGTGCTGAGATTACAGGTGTGAACCACTGTGCCTGGCTACACTGACTAATATTTATGATGGCAGAACATTTTCTAAGTATTTTAATTAAGCATTTATTTATTTATTTGAGACAGAGTCTCACTGCGAAGCCCAGGCTGGAGTGCAGTGGTGTGATTCTCCTACCTCAGCCTCCTGAGCAGCTGGGATTACAGGTGCCTGCCACCAAACCCAGCTAATTTTTGTATTTTTAGTAGAGATGGGGTTTCACTATATTGGCCAAGCTGGTCTTGAACTCCTGATCTCAAGTGATCCACCCACCTCTGCTTCCCAAATTGCTGAGATTACAGGTATGATCCACTGAGGCCAGCCTTAATTAAGCATTTAATATGCACAATAACTCTGTGAAGTAGGCATTATGCCCATTTTATAGTTGAATAAATGAAGGCACAGATCTACAAATGTCAAATGCTGCTAAAAGGTTGACTGGAGGAAGATCTGAGATTTGACTATGGGGTCTGGCAAAGTGAAGGATGTTGCTGCTGACTATGACAAGGAAGGGTTCAGAGAATGAAATGGTGAGGGATGGAAGACGCATTACTGTGGCTCAGGAATTCAAGGAGAAGATAAATGATGAACAATTGGAAACATACAATGTAGAAACTCTCTCTCTTTTTTTTTTTTCCTGAAGCAGAGTCTGGCTCTGTTGTCCAGGCTGGAGCACAGTGGCACAATCTTGGCTCACACAACTTCCGCCTCCCAGGTTCAAGAGATTCTCATGCCTCAGCCTCCTGAGTAGCTGAGATTACAGGCACCCAACACCACGCCAAGCTAATTGTCTGTATTTTTAGTAGAGATGGGGGCTTCACCATGTTGCGCAGGCTGGTCTCGAACTTCTGATGTCAGGTGATCCACCTGCCTTGGCCTCCCAAACTGCTGAGATTACAGGTGTGAGCCCCTGCACCCAGCCAACATTCATCCTTTTAGAGCACAGTTCGACTGAGTTTTGACAAAAGCATACAATTGTGTAGTCACCACAATCAAGATTTCTATCATTCTAAAAGCTTCTGAGTGTCCCCATGAGGTTAACTCCCCTCCACCTCCAGTCCCCAGCAACCACCAATCTGTGTTCTTCAGCAACAGTTTTGCCTTTTCCAGAATGTTACATACACAGTATGTAACCTTTTCAGTCACAGCATTGCTTATATCAGTAGTTTATTCCTTTTTATTGCTGAGTAGTGCTCTGTTACATGAATGTACTACTATTTATACATCCACTGGTAGAAGGACATTTTAATTGTTTGTTCTTGTTTTGAGGACAAATAAAGCCCCTATAAACATTTGCATACAGCTTTCTGTGGTAATACAAGTTTTCATTTCACTTGGATAAATACTTAGCAATGGGATTGCCAAATACTAGCAAATGTTGATCTTCATGAGATACTGCTGAACTGTTTTGCATAGTGACTGAGTTCATTTCTTTTCAACATTCATTGAGGAGTCATGCTGTGCCAGGAGCATAGAGTTGAGTAGTTGTGACACAATGTGGCCTGCAAATCTGAAATACTTGCTATCTGGGCCTTTACAGAATAAGTTTGTTGACCCTTGTCATAAGACTATGGCCAGTAAGAGCTCATGGTCTGATTATACTGAATTTTTTTTTTTTATTATTTTTTTAAATTTAAATTTTGAATTTTTTTTTTTTTTTTTTTTTTAAGATGGGAGTTTTGCTCTTGTTGCCCAGGCTGGAGTGCAATGGCTCAATCTCAGCTCACCAAAAACTCTGCCTCCTAGGTTCAAGTGATTCTCTTGCCTCAGTCTCCCAAGTAGTTGGGACTACAGGCACCCGCCACCACATTCAGGTAATTTTTGTATTTTTAGTAGAGATGGGGATTCTCCATGTTGGCCAGGCTGGTCTTGAACTCCCAATCTCAGGTGATCCTCCCACCTCGGCCTCCCCAAGTGCTGGGATTACAGGCATGAGCCACCATGCCTGGCCTGATTATATTGATTTTATAAGCAATTTCATGGAGTCCTCTGAGGCTAATAATCAACAGCACAATTATTTTATAGAATTGTAATGTTTATTTAAGAAATATAAAAACCTTGGTCTTGAAACAGAAATAAAGGTTTTACAAAGTTACTGGGAGATGATATCTTGTTATTGAATGCTACGTTTAATTTATGCAAGTTTTTACTCTTCTGCAATCATTGAAAGTTGAGCTTAATGTCTAAAAGGGTAAGGATGTTGGTACGCAAGTCACTGTATCTTCACACACTGCTGCACACATCACATAATTTGTCCTAAGACTACAGCCAACAGCACTGTGATACTCTAGCAGGACGGGAAGAGGAATCACCCCTCCCAGGTCTGGCGATTGCACGCGCAACGTTGTGCGCATACGCCGCCCGAGTCAACGGTCCGTTGGTGCCTGGAATGCGCAGGCGCGTTGCTCCGGCGCCGGCTTTGGCGAAGGGGCGGGACTTGCACCGGCGTCTCTTCTTCCAACTGCAGCTTGGGGCAGCGCCATTTTGAATGTGCAGCGAGCGGCTGCGGGCGTGAATTCGGGCAGGACGAGTTGCCGGCTCGCCTACCAAGCGGTCTCTTAACTGTCAATATTTTGTTGCTAGAGGCTTATGTAGAGACGTATACATATATATATATATAGACATACGCACTATATATAGATCTAGGCCTGTATCTGGTGTCCGAGGCGAACTCACTAAGATGATGTTAAGGGGAAACCTGAAGCAAGTGCGCATTGAGAAAAACCCGGCCCGCCTTCGCGCCCTGGAGTCCGCGGCGGGCGAGAGCGAGCCGGCGGCCGCCATGGCGCTCGCGCTGGCCGGGGAGCAGGCACCACCCGCACCCGCACCCTCGGAGGACCACCCGGACGAGGAGATGGGGTTCACCATCGACATCAAGAGTTTCCTCAAGCCGGGAGAGAAGACGTACACGCAGCGCTGCCGCCTCTTCGTGGGAAACCTGCCCACAGACATCACGGAGGAAGACTTCAAGAGGCTCTTCGAGCGCTACGGCGAGCCCAGCGAAGTCTTCATCAACCGGGACCGTGGCTTCGGCTTCATCCGCCTGGTGAGTGTCGGGCCGCCCGTGCGAGGGAACAAAAGGACTGTCGGGGTGGCCGTGAGGTCGCGGGGCCGTGGCAGCCGTGGCGCTGCTCGGCCTCGTCGATCCCCCTGTGCAGGGTTGGCCGCTTCCCCAGCTCGGCGCCTTCGCCTTTGGTTTCGAGTTCGCGGTCCCGGGATTTCCTGCGCTCTCGGTGGCCGCCGTTTTCTGCCGTGCAAGCGCTCCCGGATTCCCTGTTGCCCGGGATACCGACAGGGCCCGGGGGCAGGGGCGGGTAGCGTTTTGGGGTGAGAATTCTTGAAGGCAAAAATCGTGCCGTAATAATAGAAACGAATTAGTTATGAATTTGGAACGGAAGCTGGAGTCAGACCAGACATATCACTAGGTGTGAGGTTCTAGCCAGGAGACTTGCTTCTTAAAGAATTATTCACATCCCCTCCATGCCGTCCTTAGCTTTAACCAGACCTTTATGCGTTTCAGGGTAGGCCACTTTATTTTTATTTTTTTTTAATTAAATTAATTTTACTAGAGATGGGGTCTCGCTATGTTGCGCAGGCTGGTCCCGAACTCCTGGGCACGTGGGATCTTCCTGGTTTGGCCTCCCACTTTATTTCTCACCTCAGTACATCCTGCTATTTACCTCAAACTGCCTACGTGCCCAAACTCGATACTCAAGTAACACTGTTTAATCTGCAGTAATGGGACGGTGTTATATTGAATGTATCTAAGATAGTGCTTTTCTACCTAATATCCTGAACACTTCCACATTTTTTGTAGGGGAGAGGATAGATGATACACAGTACTACTTTGTAAATTATTGATACATATCCTAGTATAATAGTAATATACCTTACCCTCTTTTAATCCAAACTTTGAAAAGTTTTCCAATGATTTATGCAAAAATTGTCCTTCCTTCCTTCCTTCCTTCCTTCCTTCCTTCCTTCCTTCCTTCCTTCCTTCCGTCCTTCCTTCCTTCCTTCCTTCCTTGATGGAGCTTTCTTTGTTCTTGTTGCCCAGCCTGGAGTACAGTGGCGTGATCTTGTCTCACTGCAACCTCTGCCTCCCCGGTTCAAGCGATTCTCCTGCCTCAGCCTCCTAAGTAACTGGGATTACAGGCGCATGCCACCATGCCTGGTTAATTTTTGTGTTTTTAGTAGAGACGGGGTGTCACTGTGTTGGTCAGGTGGGTCTCGAACTCCTGACCTCGTGATCCACCCGCCTCAGCCTCCCAAAGTGCTGCGATTACAGGTGTGAGCCACTACACCCAGCGCTTCCTTTATATTTTTAAGAAATTTGGCTGGGTGAGGTGGGGGCTTATGACTGTAATCCCAGGCACTTTGGGAGGCCAATGCGGACTGATCATGAGGTCAGGAGTTTAAGGCCAGCCTGGCCAAGATGGTGAAACCCCATTTCTACTAAAAATACAAAAATTAGCCCGGTGGTGGGTGCCTGTAATCCCAGCTACTCAGGAGGCGGAGAATTGTTTGAGCCTGGGTGACAGACTCTGTCTCAAAAAAAAAAAAAAAAAAATTGAACAAGACAGGCCAACATGGCAAAACTCCGTCTCTACCAAAATTAGAAAAATTAGCTGGGCATGGTGGTACAAGCCTATAGTCCCAGTTACTTGGGAGACTGAGGCAGGAGAACTGCTTGAACCCAGGAGGCAGAGGCTACAGTGAACCGAGATCGTGTCACTGTACTGCAGCCTGGGCGACAGAGTGAGGTCCTGTCTCGAAACAAAACAGTGAAGGCTTACGCCTTTTTTTTTTTTTTTTTTTTTTTTTTTTTTGAGACAGGGTCTTGCTCTGCTATCCAGGCAGGAGTGCAGTGGCTTGATCTTGGCTCACTGCAATCTCCACCTCCTAGGTTCAAGCAATTCAACTGCCTCAGCCTCCTGAGCAGCTGCTACTACAGGTACATGCCACCACGTTCAGCTAATTTTTTTTATTTTTATTTTTTGAGACAGAGTCTGTCTCTGTCTCATACAACCTCTGCCTTCTGGGTTCAAGCGATTCCCCTGTCTCAGCTTCCCGAATAGCTGGGATTACGTACATGCTGCCATGCCTGGCTAGTTTTTTTGGGTTTTTAGTAGAGACAGGGTTTCATCGTGTTCCCCAGACTGATCTCGAACTCCTGAGCTCAGGTAATCCATCTGCCTTGGCCTCCCAAAGTGCTAGGATGACAAGTGTGAGCCACTGTGTCTGGCCAATTTTTGTATTTTTAGTAGAGATGGGGTTTCACCATGTTGGCCAGGATGGTCTCAATCTCTTGACCTCGTGATCTCCCCGCCTTGGCCTCCCAAAGTGCTGGGATTACAGACATTAGTTACTGCGCCCTGCCAAGATACTAGTATTTTTTAGAGCAAACACTTAAACGTGTAAGTGGCTTCAAGAGAAGGGTAAATATTCACAAGGTATTAATAATAATGAAATATGGAAATTTTCTTCAAATTCAAGTTAAATCATTGCGTTTTGAACATTAAAATATATTTATTTTTTGGACGTTAGAGAAACAGCTTGCCACTTGGTGAAAATTTTTATATAAAAGTTATCTTTTTTTTAAAAGACAGGGTTTCACCATGTTGGTCAGGCTGGTCTTGAACTCCCGACCTCAGGTGATCCGCCTGCCTTGGCCTCCAAAGTGCTTGGCCTGGCCTTTTTTTTTTTTTTTGAGCCAGAGTCTTGCTCTATTGCCCAGGCTGGAGTGCGGTGACATGATCTCGGCTCACTGCAACCTCCACCTCCCGAGTTCAAGCCATTCTTGTGCCCCAGCCTCTGGAGTAGCTGGAATTACAGGCATCTGCCTTCATGCCCAGCTAATTTTTATATTTTTAGTAGAGATGGGGTTTCACCGTGTTGGCCAGGCTGGTCTCGAAATCCTGACCTCAGGTGATCTGCCCGCCGTGGGCTTGCAAAGTGCTGGGATCACAGCTGTGAGCTACGGTGCCTGGCCTCATTCCTCCCCACTCCTCCCAGACTTGCTGTTACCCAGGCTGGAGTGCAGTGGCATGCTCTGCTCACTGCAGCTCTGCCTCCCAGGTGCAAGCAATTCTTGTCTCAGGCTCCTGAGTAGCTAGTATTACAGGCATGCCACCACCCTGGGATGATTTTTGTATTTTTAGTAGAGATGGGGTTTCACCATGTTGGCCAGGTTAGTCTTGAACTCCTGACCTCAAGTGATCCACCCACCTCATCCTCTCAAAGTGCTGGGATTATAAGTCTGAGCCACTGCACCTGACTTTAATAAGCATTTTGTATTTTACAGTATGAATGTACTGTAAGTTTTTTAATTCATTTTATCTTTTTTCTTTATATTATCGAATCTGCCTTGATCTTGGATCAACTTTGTGTTGATTGACTTGAAGCTTATTTCTCTTTTTTTTTTTTTTTCTGTTTCAAATTATTTTTCCAGGAGCCCCATCAGGTTCTCACCCTCTGTATTGGGATTTCCTTGTACTTATTAACTTAGTGCCTTTGGAATGGGGAGTTTTTGTATTTTTATTTTTTCTTTTCTTGTATATTCTTCCAGTGAATAAGTGGGGATTTTTAAGCAGCTAGTAAACGAAACAGTGAGAGAAAAAAAGGTCTCGTGATTTGGAAAATACCCTGAAATAGAAATCATTGGACCTTAGTTTGAGCAGGCACTGTATTGGTGTAGTCATTTAGTTTCTTGTGAATTCATGTATTACTTCTATTAAAGATCCTATAGTTTTAAGTATTTGTGCAGGGTGATAGTAGGAAAATCAATTGGAGGGTGGGATAATCGTGTATTGATGGAGATTGTGAATTCCTTATAGGTTCAAATTAGTACTTGAAGTGTGTTCTTGGGCAGGTTACTTAACCTCTTATAGGCCTGTCTCCCCATATGTAAAATGGATATAGTAAAACAAAACCTAACTTGTAAGATTCTTGGTGAGGATACTGAAAGATAATGTGTGTATCTATATATTATAATGGATAAGGGCTGATCTGTAGTAACTACTTGATAATATATCTTGTAGTTATTCTGAGGCATGAGGTACAGATCTTTGTCATGATGATTACATAGTTTTATTATTTATTTTTTTGAGATGGAGTTTTGCTCTTGTTGTTCAGGCTGGAGTGCAATGGTGTGATCTCTGCTCACTGCAATCTCTGCCTCCCAAGTTCAAGAGATTCTCCTGCTTCGGCCTGCTAAAGTGCTGGGATTACAGGCATGAACCACTGCCCAGGCAAAAGCATTATATTTTTTTTTTTTGTAGAGATGGGGGTCTCACTGTGTAACCCAGGCTGGTCTTGAACACCTGGTTTTAAGCAATCCTCCTGCCTTGGCCCCCCAGAGTGCTGGGATTACAGGTGTGAGCCACCATGCTCAGCCCCCAATTATGTAATTTTGATTGATTTTACTTTTAATTGCTTTTACAGATACTTCAGTATACATTTAGAGCAGTGGGTCTCTAACAGGGTGCTCTTGCTCTCCAGAGGATATTTATTTGGCTATCTCTGAAGACATTTTTGGTTGCCAAAACTGGGGAGTGATTCTATTGGCATTGGGATGAGTGGAGACCAGAGATGCTGCTAAATAGCCTACAGTGCCTGGGACAGCCCCTCAGGGTTTCACCATGTTGGCCAGGATGGTCTCAATCTCTTGACCTCGTGATCTCCCCACCTTGGCCTCCCAAAGTGCTGGGATTACAGACATTAGTTACTGCGCCCTGCCAAGATACTAGTATTTTTTAGAGCAAACACTTAAACGTGTAAGTGGCTTCAAGAGAAGGGTAAATAATCTGGCCCATAATAACAATAGTGTTAAGGTTGAGAAACCCTGATTTAGCACCATTTAAAACTAGAGAAAGTGGCCGGGCGCGATGGCTCATGTCTGTAATCCCAGCACTTTGAGAGGCCTAAGTTGGTGGATCACCTGAGGTTGGGAGATCAAGACCAGCCTGGCCAACATGGTGAAACCCTGTCTCTACTAAAAATATAAAATTAGTAATCCCAGCTACTGGGGAGACTGAGGCATGAGACTCTTGAACTCAGGAGGCAGAGGTTGCAGTGAGCCAAGGTCGCATCACTGCATTCCAGCCTGGGCGATAGAGGAAGACTGTCTCAAAAAGAAAAAAAAATCCATAAACTTTGAAAAAGGATTTTTTTATAGCATTGAAAATTCCTGAAAGCATGAACATTTTATTTGCCCCAGACAGCATTAAGAATGGAATTGGTTGCCAGTAGTTAAAAATTACTTGATGAAAAATTTGAGATTTCTTGTTTTTCCTGAAAAAAACAAAATATGTGACATCTTGGATATACCTAATGGAATCGGAACAAGAGTTGCCCTCTGAAAACACTCTTCAGTTCTGCAGCCCTTACCAGATTCCCTTTATCTACCTCCCTCCAACATTCAATTATGAAACATTTTAGACATACAGAAATGAACATATGTCTGGCCAGGTGTGGTGGCTCATGCCTGTAATCCCAGCACTTTGGGAGGCTGAGGCGGGTGGATCATGAGGTCAGGAATTGGAGACTAGCCTGGCCAATATGGTGAAACCCTGTCTCTACTAAAAATACAAAAATTAGCCAGGCGTGGTGATGCATGCCTGTAGTCCCAGCTACTTGGGAGGCTGAGGCAGGAGAATCGCTTGAACCTGGGAGGTGGAGGTTGCAATGAGCCAAGATCGTGCCACTGCACTCCATCCTGAGTGAGAAAAAAAAAAAAAAAAAAAAAAAAAGAAAAGACGAATGTATTTCCATATGCCTACCACTTAGATTCTTAAAATTAAATTTTGCTGTATTTGTGTTATTAGGTACGTGTTCATCTTTTTCTACCCATTGGTTTTTGATTCTTGATTTTTAATTTATTTTATTTATTTTTTGAGATGGAGTCTTGTTCTGTAGCCCAGGCTAGAATGCAGTGGCACAATCTCGGCTCACTGCAACCTCTGCTTTCTCGGTCCTGGTTCAAGCAGTTCTCCTGCTTCAGCCTCCCATGCACCTCCATGCCCAGCTAATTTTTTTATTTTTATTTTTAGTAGAGACAGGGTTTCACCAAGTTGGCCAGGCTGGTCTTGAACTCCTGACCTTGTGATCCTCCCACCTTGGCCTCCCAAAGTGTTGGGATTACAGGCATGAGCCACCATGCCAGGCTGTTTTTTTCTTCTTTTTTTGTTTTTTAAGACAAGTTTCACTCCTCTTGCCCAGGCTAGAATACAAGAACTATCTGGCTCATAATAACAACATGGGGTTTCTCCATGTTTGTCAGGCTGGTCTCATACTCGTGACCTCAAGTGATCCACCCGCAGTGCTGGGATTACAGGCATGATGAGCCACTGCAACTGGCCTATTGTTTCTTCTTAAAACAATTTTTTTTTTTTGAGACAGAGTTTCGCTCTTGTTACCTAGGCTGGAGTGCAATGGCGCAATCTCGGCTCACTGCAGCGTCCGCTTCCTGGGTTCAGGCAATTCTCCTGCCTCAGCCTCCTGGGTAGCTGGGATTACAGGCACATACCACCATGCCCAGCTAATTTTTTGTATTTTTAGTAGAGGCGGGGTTTCACCATGTTGACCAGGATAGCCTCGATCTCTTGACCTTGTGTCTGCCCACCTCAGCCTCCCAAAGTGCTGGGATTACAGGCTTGAGCCACCGCGCCCGGCAAAACAATTTTTTTAGGCTGGACGTGGTGGTTCATGTCTGTAATCCCAGCACTTTGGGAGGCTGATGCGGAGAGATCACGAGGTTGGGAGTTTGAGACCAGCCTGGGGCAAGCATGGTGAAACCTTGTCTGTACTAAAACAGGCCTCAAACTCCTGGGCTTAAGTGATCCTTCTGCCTCGGCTTCCCAAAGTGCTAGGAAGACAAGCATGAGTTATCACGCCCAGCCACTGGTTTGTGAGTTTGGACAAATGTACATGTCTGTTTAACTCAAACCTCTGTCAAAATATACATATTATTATCCCATCAAATGTCTTTGTATTTCTTCCTATTCTCTTTCAAGACTGTTTCTAAAGTCTACCTCTCAAGAGCTGTTGAATTACATAATGTGTTAGGTAAGAAAGTACCCCTCTCTCTCGCTCTCTTTTTTTTTGAGACGAAGTTTCACTATTGTTCTGGCTGGAGTGCAATAGCATGATCTCAGCTCACTGCAACCTCTGCCTCCCGGGTTCAAGCGATTCTTCTGCCTCAGCCTCCCAAGCAGCTGGGATTATAGGCATGTACCACCATGACTGGCTAATTTTGTATTTTTAGTAGAGATGGGGTTTCTCTATGTTGGTTAGACTGGTCTCAGTGATCCTGACCTCAGGTGATCTGCCCACCTCGGCCTCCCAAAGTGCTGGGATTACATTTGTCATTCACTGTGCTGGGCTGTATTATTTTAAATTGTTTCTTTTTTTTTTTCTTTTTTGACATAGTGTCTCTCTCTGTAACCCAGGCTGGAGTGCAGTGGTGTTATCTCAGCGCCCTGCAACCTCTGCCTTCTGGGTTTAAGAGATTCTCCCACCTCAGCCTCCCTAGTAGCTGGGACTACAGGTTCTCATCACCATGCCTAGTTAATTTTTGTATTTTTTGATAGAGACTGGGTTTGCAATGTTGGCCTGGAGGCTGGTCTTGAACTCCTGTCCTTAAGTGATCCACCTGCCTCAGCTTCCCAGTCCTCAAGTGATCCACCTGGCTCAGCTTCCCAAAGTGCTGGGATTACAGGGATGAGCCATTGGGTCTGGTCCTGAATATTTTCAAGCCACTTTCGGAGAATCCATGGAAACAGAGGAATGAATGTATCTCTAAAAAGGGTAACTTTGTTTTTGTAAAAATAATTCCACAGGTAGATTTTTGCAATAAAGGGCAGTAATTTCAAGCTGTCATGGACATTTTAGGGATTGCATAAAGATCTCTTGTGACCTTAAGACATTTTTCATAAGGTAGTATATTTGTATTCTTCTTACATATACGTATAAAGCCTCTTCAGTTGTCCCTGGAGAGTTCCCGTAACACGATGAAAAAGACATACATCTATTAAATTTACCAGTTTGTTATTTATTGTTTTATGTGCTGTTCATATTCTACACCAACTTTGAATTCTCCAAGTAGAAGGAAGTTCTCTTACCTTGTAGTTTCAGCAATGAGCATATTTTTCAGTGCATATGTACACTTGCTTCTCTATATAATGGTGAGAACTGTTATAGCTCATGAGTGTTGCCTATGTTTCTTTTTATGTGATAGTGAGAAATCTGTAGCCCATGACAGTATTTCAGGAGAAGTAATTAAGGCATTGGCTAGGGCAAGGTGGCTCACACCTGTAATCTCACACTTTGGGATGCTAAGGCGAGATGATTGCTTGAGGCCAGGAGTTCAGGAGACCAGCATGGGCAATATGGTGAGATCCCATCTCTACAAAAAAAAATTAAAAAATTAGCCAGGCTTGGTTGCATGTGCCCGTAGTCCCAGCTGCGGGTGAGGTGGGAGGATCACTTGAGCCCAAGAGTTTGAGGCTGCAGTAAGCTATGATTGTGCCACTGTACTCCATCCTGGGCAACAGAGTAAGACCCTGTCACAGACACTCCCCTCCCCTGTAAAAAAAAAAAAACCCAAGAAATAATAGTAGTTTTTACATAAAATATTGAAGAGAAATGCAAATAAAAAGGAAAGGCGATTTTTCTGGCCATAGAGAGGTGGGATGTTTTGTTAAGATATAAAAAACATAAAGGGTATGGAGAATTATTCCTTTGATGATAGTTTCTAGTCAAGTTGTTATCATTTTTTGTTGTTATTTTTCTGAGACAGAGTCTTGCTCTGTTGACCAGGCTGGAGTGCAGTGGCGCCATCTTGGCTCACTGCAACCTCTACCTCCCAGGTTCAAGAGATTCTCTTACCTCAGCCTCCCAAGTAGCTGGTATTATAGGCGCTGCCACCACGTCCAGCTAAGTTTTGTATTTTTAGTAGAGATGAGGTTTCACCATGTTGGCTAGGCTGGTCTCGAACTCCTGACCTCAGGTTATCCGCCCGCCTCGGCCCCTGAAAGTGATGGGATTACAGGTGTGAACCACTGTGCCCAGCCTCTAGTCAAGTTATTAATATGTGTTTCTTTTAATATCTGTGGGAGATTTTAAAACTATATTGTTTTGAATATTTAATCGTTGGTAATTGGGCTTATGAGGAGCTAATCTTTAAATAATGACTTTTAACAAAACAATGGAGTTGGGACCTTTTACTTAAAATGGTCATTGAATAGTTAAAACCATGTGATACCAATGTTAAAAGAATCAAAAACAAATTGATCCTATCAGCCATTTGCTAAAGCTACCTTGTTCTCCCTAGAAGCCAACCCCTGTTTTAAAGTTTTTCTGTTACTGTCATCTTTTAAAAATGTTTTCTCTTCCTAAAAAGGAATCCAGAACACTGGCTGAGATTGCAAAAGCAGAGTTGGATGGCACCATTTTGAAGAGCAGACCTCTACGAATTCGCTTTGCCACACATGGAGCAGCCCTAACTGTCAAGAACCTTTCTCCAGTTGTTTCCAATGAGCTGCTAGAGCAAGCTTTTTCTCAGTTTGGTCCAGTAGAGAAAGCTGTTGTGGTTGTGGATGATCGCGGTAGAGCTACAGGAAAAGGTTTTGTAGAATTTGCAGCAAAACCTCCTGCACGAAAGGCTCTGGAAAGATGTGGTGATGGGGCATTCTTGCTAACAACGTAAGTTTTAAATATCTTGTCCTTCTATCCAGTTACATATGGGCTTCTCTCTATTCTGGAATTCTGTCTTTCCTTGCAGTTCATACTAGCATATGGTAAGTAGGTGTTAAGTAAATATTCAGTGAATATAAATAAGAAATTTCTGTGTACTGGTAGGAGTCAAGAGTCATACATTTTCTTCAAACTTCAGAGTTTAGTTAAATCTCAGGAATGTTTTGTATTTTGATTTTGTCTAATGTACTAAACATCTATATACAAAGTAAAATCTATAAACTTAAAGTAATCCTTTTAGAAATTGTAATCAGCTTTATTTGTACCTAATTGACATACATTAAAAAGCACCATAGGGCGCGGTGGCTTACACCCACTGGGCCAATCACCTGAGTCAGGAGTTTCTGACCAGCCTGCCAGCATGACAAAAGCCCATCTCTACTGAAAATACAAAAATTAGCTGGGTGTGGTGGTATGTGCCTGCAGTCCCAGCTCCTTGGAAGGCTGAGCCTTGAGAATCACTTGAACCCAGGAGTTGGAGGTTGCAGTAAGCTGAGATCATGCCCCTGCACTCCAGTCTGTGCGACAGAGTGAGACGACTCCTTCTCAAAAACAAAGAAAACCTCGTCTCTACTAAAAATACAAAAATTAGTTGAGCATGGTGACACATCCCTATAATCCCAGCTCAGGAGGCTGAGGCAGGAGAATTTCTTGAACCCTGGAGGCATAGTTTGCAGTGAGCCCAGATCATGCCACTGCACTTCAGCCTAGGTAGCAGAGTGAGACCCTGTCTAAAAAAAAAATAGCACCTTGGGCTGGGCACGGTAGCTCATGTCTGTAATCCTAGCACTCTGGGAGGCCAAGGCGGGTGGATTGCCTGAGCTCAGGAGTTCAAGACAAACCTGGGCAACATGGTGAAACCCTGTCTGTACTAAAAATACAAAGAATTAGCTGGGCGTGATGGCGTGTGCCTGTAATCCCAGCTACTTGGGAGGCTGAGGCACCAGAATCAGTTGAACCCTGGAGGCAGAGGTTGGCGTGAGCCCAGATTGTACTACCGCACTCCAGACTGGGCGACAGAGTGAGACTATGTCTTAAAAAAAAAAGGCTGGGCTCAGTGGCTCATGCCTGTAATTTCAGCACTTTGGGAGGCTGAGACAGGAGGATCACCTGAGGTCAGGAGTTGGAGACCAGCCTGGCCAATATGGTGAAACCCCATCTCTACCAAAAATATGAAAATTAGCTGGGCTTGATAGTGGGTGCTTGTAATCCCAGCTACTTGGGAGGCTGAGGCATGAGAATTGCTTGAACCCAGGAGGCAGAGGTTGCAGTTAGCTGAGATCGTGCCACTGTACTCCAGCCTGGGTGACAAGAGTGAAACTGCATCTCAAAAAAAAGAAAACACAACACCTTGGGGAGCCCAGCATGGCGGAATGCACAGTAGTCTCAGCGATTTGCCCTGTAGTCAGTCCCAGCTACTCGGGAGGCTGAGGTGGAAGGATCACTTGTGCCTAGGAGGTCAAGGTTGCAATAATCCCAGCACTTTGGGAGGCCGAGGTGGGTGGATCACGAGGTCAAGAGATGGAGACCATCCTGGTCAACATGGTGAAACCCCGTCTCTACTAAAAATACAAAAATTAGCTGGGCATGGTGGTGCGTGCCTGTAACCCCAGCTACTCAGGAGGCTAAGGCAGGAGAATTGCCTAAACCCAGGAGACGGAGGTTGCGGTGAGCCGAGATGGCGCCATTGCACTCCAGCCTGGGTAACAAGAGCGAAACTCCATCTCAAAAAAAAAAAAAAAGAAGCAGTCTCTAGGCCGGGCGCGCGGTGGCTCACGCTTATAATCCCAGCACTTTGGGAGGCCGAGGTGGGTGGATCACAAGGTCAAGAGATCGAGACCATCCTGGTCAAAAAGGTGAAACCCCGTCTCTACTAAAAAATACAGAAACTAGCTGGGCATGGTGGTGCACGCCTGTAGTCCCAGCTACTCTGGAGGCTGAGGCAGGAGAATTGCTTGAACCCAGAAGGCGGAGGTTACGGTGAGCCAAGATCGTGCCATTGCACTCCAGTTTGGGTAATAACAGCGAAACTCTGTCTCAAAAAAAAAAAAAAACAAAGAAGTAGTCTCTACTTAGAAAGAAAATTTAAAAAAACAATAAAAAAGACATTCTGTTTTAGAGCTCAATGAGGTGTTGTTTTTTTTTTTTTTTTTTTTTGAGACGGAGTCTCGCTCTGTCACCCAGACTGAAGTGCAGTGGCGGTCTCGACTCATTGCAGGCTCCACCTCCCAGGTTCAAGCAATTCTCCTGCTTCAGCCTCCCAGACAGCTAGGATTACAGGTGTGCCCCACCGTGCCCAGGTAATCTTTGGTATTTTTTTTTTAGAGGGAGTCTTGCTCTGTCGCCCAGGCTAGAGTGCAGTGGCATAGTGTCAGCTCACTCAGCCTCTGGGGTTCAAGTGATTCTCCTGCCTCAGTTTCCTGATTAGCTGTGATTAGAGGTGTGAGCCACCACGTCTGGCTAACTCTTGGATTTTTTTAGTAGAGATGGGGTTTCACCATGTTGGCCAAGCTGATCTTGTACTACTACCTCATGTAATCCCCTCGCCTCAGCCTCCCAAAGTGCTGGGATTACAGGTATGAGCCATTGCTCCTGACCTGTGTTTTTGTAGAGATGGGGTTTCATCATGTTGGCCAGGCTGGTGTCAAACTCCTGACCTCAAGTAATCTACCTGCCTGGGCCTCCTAAAGTGCTGGGATTATAGATGTGAGCCACTTTGCCTGGCTGAGCTCGCTGAGCTCGATGAGCTCGATGAGTTTTAACAAACATATGTATGCATGTAATGCACTGCCATGGTAAAAATAGAGAACATTTTCATTACCCCACACAAGTTCTGTTGTTCCCTTTTACAGTTATTCTGCACTCTATCTACCTGCCTTAGATACCTATTTCTGTTACTAAAAATGAGTTTTTTTTTGGGACAGAGTCTCATTCAGCTGCCTGGGCTGCAGTGCAGTGGTGCATTCTAGGCTGCCTCAGGTTCAAGAGATTCTCCAGCCTCAGTCTCCTGAGTAGCTGGCATTACAGGTGTGCAGCACCATGTCTGGCTAATTTTTTTTTCACCATGTTGGCTGGGCTGGTCTCAAACTCCTGACCTCAGGTGATCTGCCCACCTTAGCCTCCCAAAGTGCTGGGTTTATAGGTGTGAGCCACCTTGCCCGGCCTAAGCCACTGTGCCTGGCTGTGTTTTCTAATATTAAGTGAAATCATGTAGTATGTACTCTTTTGTGTCTGGCTTCTCTTGCTTAGCATAATGTTTATGAGATTTCCTACATATCTTTGTGTGTATAGTATTTTGTTTCTTTTATGGTGGAGTCATATTCCATGGTATAGACATAATTATATTGTTTGTGACGTATGGATGGATATTTGGGTTGCTTACAACTACTGGCTATTGTGAATATAGATACTATGAATGTTTGTTTTCAAGGTTTCTTGTGAGTATTATGCTTTCACATGGCTCACATAAATATTTAGGGGTAAATTGCTGTATGTTTAACTTTAAAAGAAACTGCCAAACTGTTTTTTGTAGTGGTTGTACCATTTTTTACATTCCTGTTGGCAATGAGTGAGTGACTTCTAGTTACTCCACATTTTACCCACACTTGGTGTTTTTATTTTTTATTTTAAAATTTTATTTTTATTTAAAAATTTTTTTATTTATTTAATGTTTTGAGACAGAGTCTCACTCTGTCACCCAGGCTGGAGTGCAGTGGCACAAACCACCTCTCGAGTTCAAGCAGTTCTCCAACCTCAGCCTCCAAGTAGCTGGGATTACAGGCACCTGCCACCACACCTGGCTAGTTTTTGTATTTTTTAGTAGAGTTGGGGTTTCACCATCTTGGCCAGGCTGGTCTTGAACTCCTGGCCTTAGGTGATGCACCTGCCTCAGCCTCGCAAAGTGCTGGGATTACAAGTGTGAGCGACTTGTTTCTGGCCTTTTTTTCCCCTTGAGGCAGGGTCTCGGTGTATCTCCCAGGCTGGAGTGCAGCAGCATGATCACAGCTCATTGCAGCCTCGACTTGCTAGGTTCAAGTGATCCTCCCACCTCAGCCTCCCAAGTTGCTAGGACTATGGGGATGTACCACCACTCCCAGTTAACTAAGAACTTTTTATTGATAGCTTTTTTTTGGAGACAGGGTCTCACTGTCACCCAGGCTGAGTATGATCACAGCTCACTATACCCTCAAACTCCTCAGGCTCACGTGATCCTCCCACCTCAGCCTTCCTAGTAGCTGGGACCACAGGCATGTGCCACCATGCCTGGCTAATTTTTGTACTTTCTGTATTTTTGTCATGTGGCCCGGGCAGATCTTAAACTCTTGAACTCAAGCAGTCTTCCTGCTTTGGCCTCCCAAAGTGCTAGGATTGTAGACACGAGCCACTGCTCCTGGCTGGTAAGTAGGTAGGTAGGGTAGGTAATTTACTTATTTAAGACAGGGTCTTGCTCTGTCACCCAGGCTTGAGACAGGGTATTGCTCTGTTACCCAGGCTGGAGTGCAGTGGCATGATCTCGGCTCACTGCAACTGCTGCCTCCCGGGTACAACCGATTCTTGTGCTTCAGCCTCCTGAGTAGCTAGGATTACAGGCATTCATCACCACACCTGGCTAATTTTTTTTTTTTTTTGAGACAGTCTCATGCTGTTGTCAGGCTGGAGTTCAGTGTCGCGATCTGGCCCACTGTAACCTCTGCCTCCTACGTTCAAGTTATTCTCCTCCCTCAGTCTCCGGAGTAGCTGGTGCTACAGGTGTGTGCCCCCACGCCCAGCTAATTTTTTGTATTTTTAGGAGAGACAGGGTTTCAGCATGTTGGCCAAGATGGTCTTCATTTCTTTTTAAATTTTTTTTGTTTTTATTTGTTTGTTTATTTTTTTGTATCTTGGTCTTGGTCTCTTTACCTCATGATCCACACCTCAGCCTCCCAAAGTGCTGGGATTATAGGTGTGAG